CCCCCCACCACCCTGGCCTCCTCCGCAGGGGTAGTGTCGCCAGATTTAGCAAATGAAAATTCAGCTCGCCCAGTTTTGTGAATTTTTTTTAAAAAATATTTATTTTTAAAAATATTTTTTATTTTTTAAAATATATTTTTATTGATTTCAGACGGGGAGATAGAAACATCAATGATGAGAATCATTGATCTGCTGCCTCCTGCATGCCCCCTACTGGGAATTGAGCCCACAACCCTGGCGTGTGCCTTGATGGAGAACAGAACTGTGACCTCCTGGTTCATAGTGTTAACATAAACACGTTCAAACCTGTAAAGAGTTTTTGTGAGTTTATTTGAGCCAAACTGTTGACAACTGCGGGGCAGCAGAATCTCAATGTATTGGGACAATGCTCCAGAGAATGGCAGTTTTTCACCCTGTTTTATACATCACAATCAAAGGAGGCACCGTAAGTGGGTACATGAAATCCATTGGTGATAGATTAGGGAGGCGGGAGGAAGCAAAGTCGGGGGGAACACTCCGGGATTGGATAAAAGTAAAATGATAGGCCCCGGTGGGTACAGGATAGTTTACAGTCAACAATTAACATGATAATAACATTGAGGGGATTTGTGGTCTCTGTCCTGGAGCCCAGGCACATTTGGTTTTGCCCTGAGGGGTCCGGAAAAAGGGAAGTTAAAGTTGCCCTGACATTTCACAGGCATGTTATCTTAGGTGCAAAAAACAATAGGCTCAGTTATGATCAAGATTGACCTTTGTCAGGGAAGATAGCAGCCTAGGAGGTGACCACACACTATAAACTGCTTCTAGTTAAAGTTTTAATTTCAGACCATCCTTGTGGTTACTTTAGGTGTTTGAGTTTGCACAACTGCCACGCAGGCCTTCCCTGAGCTAGTCAGGTTAGCATGTGGCCTTTTTTCATCCACAATAGGTTTGACACTCAACCACTGAGCCACACTAGCCAGGTCAGTTATTTGGATTTTAGATAAACAGCGCATCACTTCAAGTCACAGGTAACTGGGCGTCCTGTGTTTTATCTGGTGGCCCTACCTGGGCTTTAGAGGGTCTGCCACCCTGACCTTGACATGTAAATAGAGAATCTAACTCTTAGAACGCCTTTCTTCACTCACATTTCCTGGACTTCTGCTCCCTGCTGAGCCCTGGAGACAAAGTAGAGCCACTCCGTGGGTGTGCATTCCAGGTGAGATGGAGATAAGTGCTATAAAAAGCAGTAAAGCAGGCCAGCGGGTGGGGAGGCCTCTCAGAGGAGGTAAGAAAAGAGGCCAGCAGCCCAGGCAGAGGAACTGTATGTGCAAAGGCCCTGAGGTAGGAACATTAGAAGAGTAGCAAGGAGGCCAGTGTGGCTGGAGCAGAGGGAGCCAGGGGGAGGAGAGAGAATTGGGGAAGCAGGACCACCCCGAAGCTCCCTAGCCAGATGTTGGACTAGGGCCTTGACTCTGAATGTGATGGTGCCCATGGGAGGGTTTTGAGCTGGAATGTAGTTCTGGCTGCAGGGTGAGAAGCAGGAGGGGCATCGGGAGACCTGTGAGGGCCATCACAGCCCTCCAAGAGGTGGTGGGTGCGGTGCTGGCGAGGAGGGTCAGACTTTGGGGATGTTTGGAAGGTAGGACATGTGGTGAATCAAGTCAGGATTGTGAGACAAAGGGTCACATCTGCCTGCAGGACTTTTGGCCGGTTGGTCTTGGCTGAGATGAAAGATGGTGGGGGAGGGGAGGGTGGGAGAGCAAATTTGGGGGTCAGAGTGGAAATCAAGAGTTTGTTTTGGATCGCTAAATTTGTGAGACCTTTTTAACATCTGAGGGAGGTGCCAGGCCACAGGTTGGCTGTGAGTCTGGAGATCAGAGGGTACCAGTAAGTTGGGCTGGTTGAGGTCCCCACACACAGGGAGCCTGGGGCAGGGCCAGGTTGCCAGGGGTGTGTGTGTGTGCGTGCGTGTGTGAGAGAGAGAGAAAGAGAGAGAGAGAGAGAGAGAGGATCTTGTCCTGTCCCCAAGCCTGCGGTCAAGTTTTGCAAACACCACTGGCCTTTTCCCAGCTGTGCTCATGGGGCATTAGGAAGGGGCCTTTGCTTGGGGCAAAGCACTTATGCCAGGAGTTTGGTGCTTGGTGGTGCAGTGTGGGCAGGTAGGACTGAGGGCCACGTGGGCAGATGTGGGGCTCGTGGGCATTGTTCTGGGACCTCGGAGCTGCCTGGGAGCCAGTGTGGACCAGGACAGACTAGTTGGGCCTGGTTTTGTTTGGGCACCTGCCAGACAGCCTGTCCCCTGCTGCCGCGGGACCTGCCCCACAGGGAGCTGGGTCCCTCTGGGAGGCCAGCACGCTCAGGGAGCCAGACCCCTGGACACAGGAAGTCACCAGTTAAATGGATGCCAAGTGTGTGTGGCACACCCCTCTGGAAGCGGCCTCGTGGCCTTCACTGGGGTTTATGCGAGAGGCTGTGATGGCCCTGCAGAGTGAGAAATGAAAGCACCTCATAAGCTGGTCAGATGACCTGGGACTTCGAGCCCTGAAGGTATTTCATGGAGGAGGGACCATTACGGGGAGAAGCTGAAAGAGACAGATGACAGGAAAATTAAATGTAGGGTTTAATGGAGAAATAATCATTTTCTATGAAAGATAATGACTTCTCTGGAGGCAGGTATCAAGATTTATTGGCCCAAGAGGTTCCTGGGGAGCATAGCCAGGCGAGCACGCTGAGGCCGAGACCGGAGTGATCCTGAGAGTGAAGGGTCAATACATCTGGACGCCGCGCCCTCTGCCCATGTGTCACAGGGGCCGGGATTAAGCCGTCTCCCACTTCAGGGAACACAGTCCTCCAGCCAGTCATGTTACAGCCGCCTCCCCGGACCCCACTGTCCTTGGAGGGGGGCCAGGGTTCTCACGAGTCCCCTCGAGCAGCCTCCCTTCAAGGGCACGGACCACAGGCCGAGAGAGGACTGCAGGGCTGCCGGCCACACAGGGAGGTCACCGCAGGAGGCCCTGGTTCCAGCGGTGAGCACAGCCATGGCCATGACAGCGCCCACCCCACAGCCACCAGACGGGAGATTGTGGGACTGGAGGCAGACCTGCAGGGCTTCCATGTGGGAGATTTATTGCTGTGCCAAATGCGTGTGTGTAAATACATAATTCCTCTCACACGGCCTCATAAATCCAAAAGCGTCAGCCATACATAGAAAAAAATAAAAAATTACAAACTAATTTGTTCAGAAAACTAGAAGGGAATCAATACAAAAACGGTAGCTCAAAATTTGGTTTGAAATTGTGTGCGTAGAGAATGAACACATTGCCCCCTGGATCCAAACGTCTCCTTTGTGGTGGCTCCAAGGTGGGCCTGGGACAGCCGGTGCCATGTCAACATGAATTGTCTTAGCTGGTGCCTTCGTTTGTAGGATGGCACAGGACCAAGGTCAGCCTGGGCCTGAGCGGCCACCCCAGGGGCCTGGGGAAGGGCCCTGCAGTGTTCTCAGGGGTCTCGGGGCCCCTCACCAGACCTGCAGGTGGGGGCACAGGCAGAACCTGGGGTTTTGCCAGGACAGCTATGGATGGATGAATGGATGATGGATGGGTGATAGATAACACATAGATGACTGATAGGTGGATAAAGACCAGATAGATAATAGATGATAAATGATGATGGTACAGATGAATTTGGTGAATTCCCTGGGGCACTAGCTTAGAGGGAATACTGGCCAGCGTTCTGGCTGTACTGGGGAAGATGGGGCTCAGGCCCCCTGTGGCCCAGATGCAAGGTTCTGGGACCGGCAGACAGGACATAAGTGTCTGCTGTCATCCGAATTGGCGCGAGGGTCCAGTGGCTTCCTCAGGACAGGGGCTGTGGCAAGAGCACTGCTCTGGGTGAGGGGCGGGTGGCAGGGAGTCTTGTGTGGTGGCTCCTATGGGGAGGGGTCGCTGCTGCGGTGGCCTATTCTGCAGGTCCGTGAAGGCAGCGGCTCTGGGGCTGTTCCTGTGTCCACTGCTGAGACCTGTCCCTGAGGCCTCCGCCTGGCAGGTCTCGATCCTCCTCCCAGTGCATCTCCTCTGACTTCCTTCCCCACGGAACCCTCTGCGTGGTAATCAGCACAGGTTTCCTACACAGAACCGCCGACACCTTTGACAAGGGTCCAGGTCCACACGGGGCCATGGAGAGCACACTTGGTAATGGACACCACCAGGAAATGGGCTCTCGTTCCTTCTAGGAGGAGTCTGGGAACACTTAGGGAAGCCTTGACCCCTGCTCCCCCCAGGGGTTGCCGGGTCGCAGTGAAGGGATCTTCGACCCTCGAGTGCCAGGTCCTCTAATCTGCAACGCACACAGGAGATGCGCACGCCAGTCATCCAGCCACAAGTGACCGGCTGGACGAGGTGCAGGCCCTGGCAGGAGCCGGGCCCCTGCAGGTGTCAGGCAGTCCTGCCCCCCTGTCAGCAGCGTCGGCAGCCCCACAGCCACAGGAGCCCTTGGCCTCAGAAGTCTCACTGGCACAAACTCTCCACTGATTTCCTGACAAAGCTGGAGGCCTCAGCCCCTTGCTTCCCCCAAAGCCGCTCTTCTTCTCTTGACCTTCGCTGATGGCGCAGTCCTGGCCCATGGCCATCTCAGCCAGGCGATGCGTTTGTGCCCAGGACCTGCTCCCCTCCCAGCTCCTGAGGATGGTTCTCCACCGAGTCCAGGACTTTTCTTGGCTGGCCTGACGCCCCACAGCCTTCTAGCTCCTGTCTCTCCGTCTCTGTGGTCTGGGCCATCTTTGAGAGCCAATGGAAGCACTGGGCCTGGCGCCCAAAACGCACACAGAGCCACGTTACAGCTGGTGTCAAACAGCCAACGTCCAGTCTTAGGCCCACGTCCGATGACCATCCACACGCCAGCCTGTGCTGGGGACGTCCAGGCTTCCTGAGGCCTCCAGCACACCCACACGCACATGCAAGCACAGGCACACATGATCACACACAATCACACAATGATTCACGGATGTCTCTGTAGGCCGCCTACTCTTTCCTGAGGCCTGTCTTTCCAGGACTGCCCGGTGGCTGCCCCGCGAGGCCTGGGACACGGCCGGCACCTGCCAGTTCTCCCGTCCCCGGGCTGCTCAGTGGGGCCGGCTCCGAGAGCACAGCCAGCGTGTCGCACAGGATCCTTCTGCTGAGCTGGGTGGAAACCAGATTCACCGCCTCTGCCCTGTCCCCACCGGGGCCCACGCAGGGGCCCCTGTCCAAAGCGGGAACTGGGTCCCCCTGCCAGGGGCCAGCCAGCCCTGTGTGGCCAGCCGTCAACAGTGCTGGCAGGCCCTCTCCAGTCACACAGGCCTCTCCAGACAGTGTTGGGGGCTGCACGGACTGCCCTGGGGGCCCGGCCGGGGCATTGCCCGCCCCCCCACACCAGGGGGACCTGAGCCAGTTGACAGGTTCAGACCACTGGCCCCCCAAAACCTTGTTCCTCCCAATAGAATGTGATTCACCCAATTGGTCCCCAAGGCTCCTGCCCTGTGCACCTGCCGCCAGGCAGAGGCTGGCCTCCGGGGGCCCCAGGGACAGTGCCTCGGACAGGGAGGGCAGCTCCCAGGTGTTGGTGGAGGCGTCTTCGGGCGGGGAAGGGAAGTCCTCGGAGGGGGGGCTGGGGGTGGCCCTGCTGCCTGCTGGGAGGGCGGGAGGCGGAGGAGCATCCCTGTGTGTGGAGGACGGGAGGTCGGCACTGCCGTAGGACAGCACCTCGTCCACCGGGGACAGGATCTCAGGCAGGACACTGCCATCCAGAGAGAGGCTGGCTTCCTCTGGGGCAGCAGGGGCTCCACTGCCCACATACCCAGGTGCCCGGCTCTCAGCCCTCAGGGCTGCCAGCACGCTGGGTGTTGCAGGAGGTGCCCGTGGGGGGTTCCTGTCAGCCTCCTGGGGCCCCTCTGGGCAGTCGGTGGAGGCCTGCAGAGGCTCCGTCTCTCCTCCTCGGCTGAAACTGGCCCCTTTGGACACCGAGGACACCGAGGGAAAGGGAAGGGACAGGGCTGAGTCGCTGCAGGAATGGGCACAGGGGAGGAATGCAGTGCAGGCAGCCTCAGGGCATGGCCAGCTGGCCTTTCCTGCATCTAATTCACTGGTCAGACTCCCACCAGTTCCAGAAGCTTCCTGGCCCCCACCAGGGCCTGGGGAGAGAAGTGCCATGCTGGGTGCCCCTCCATCTTCCAGGTCAGAGGAGCCTCCAGCAGGGGAGGGCCATCCTGCAGCTGGCTGGGCACCCATGCCAGGCTGCAGCGGGCTCTCCTCATCCCAGACCTCGCTGGATGCCTCTGACAGCTCTGATCCTGACCCGGGCGAGGGGACGTCGGGGAGAGGCCGTGGCTGGCCCTCCTGCAGGAGGCCTGGCCCTGACGCAGTGGGGGAGCCCCGCAGGGGACGGGCTCCGC